GTGATGAAAGAAATAGCTGCTAGAGGTAACATAGAAGCAGAAGCACTCATGAAATACGTGATTGATGGAATTCCGGAAGACACGCAAAGCAGGATCATATTGTACGGAGCTAAAAAATTGACGGAATTCAAGGAAAAGATTAAAGTATACGAAGCAATTCGGAAGAAGAATACTGAGAGGATGAGAACGAGAGAGAAGAACAACATACAAAAGAAGACAGAAGAAGCGAGGAAACCAACGACATCAAAAAGTGGTGAAAAAGAACAAGAGACAGACGTGCGATGTTACAATTGCGGCGGTAAAGGACACAAAGCTAAAGACTGCAAGAAGAAAGAATTAGGTAAAAAGTGTTTTAAGTGTCAAAAATATGGGCATACTGCAAAGTTGTGTAACGCGTCAGACGATAGTGAAGCGGTAGCGGATAAAAAGACAGCGGTAATTAATACGGTTACGATTCATCGAGCGATAAAATATTTAAACGAATCACGATAAACGGTGTGCGGGTTAATGCGTTAATTGATACCGGCAGTCAAATCACGGTAATGCGCAAAGACGTTTACGATCAAATGAAATTAGACAAGCTATGGAAAAATAGTATTTGTTTAACCGGTTTTAGAAAAAACGGAGTACATTCATTGGGTTGCGTAAATATAATTATAGAAGTAGATGCTGATAAATATCCGTGTGTAGTGCACGTTGTGCCAAATGAAACTACAAATACGAGCATCATAATTGGTAGCGATTTTCTAGCGATGACGGAAATGACCATCAATAACGACGGAATAACTATACGAAGAGCAACACCTGCTCAATCGTTAACACAAATCAATGTGATCGAAAAGCAATCGTTAGACATTGGTGACGTGACGGATCCGAGAATACGAGAAGAAGTAGAGACGATTGTTGAAACGTATCAAGTAAATAAGTGTAAGACAACGGACGTGAGCATGCGTATTGTAAAAGACGAAAGGCCTATTTTTCAAAAATCGCGACGATTACCGGCACCTGAGCGCGAAATAGTCTAAAATCAAATAGCGGAATGACTAAACGACGGGGTCATTGAGAAGTGTACATCGGAATACACGAGTCCAGTAGTCGTTGTAAGAAAGAAGGACGGATCACCGCGTGTATGTATTGATTATAGGAAGTTAAATCGAGTTATAGAAAAGGACGGTCATCCCTTACCACTAATCGAAGATCTACTAGATAAATTAGAGAATGCTCGTGTGTTTAGCACGTTAGATCTGAAAAATGGATTTTTTCATGTATCTGTAGAAAAAGAGTCGAAATACGGCGTTTGTCACCCCGAACGGTCAATACCAATTCCTGAAAGTCTCTTTTGGATTATGTAATACGCTGAGGGTTTTCCAAAGATACATTAATGCTGTTTTCTGGGATTTGATTAGACAAAATATAGTGTTGCTTTACGTAGATGACTTGATCGTGCCGGCAGCAAACGAACAAGAAGCGTTAGAATGATTGCGAATCGTATTAAAGAGAGCTGGCGGTTTACAAAATAATTTTAAGAAGTGTCAATTCGTGAAAAGAACAATCGAGTTCCTAGGCCATGTAGTAGAAGGGGGCAAAATTTACCCTTCCCAAGAGAAAGTCAAAGCCGTGATAAATTATCCAGAGCCGAGAGAATTAAAAGATATTCAAAGATATTAAAAGATATTCTTTCTTGGATTAACGGATTACTTCAGAAAGTTTATACCTTCGTATTCTACGATCGCGAAACGACATGTTGTGCGGAAAGATCAATCGTATAATTTTGACGATAAGATTCGAAACGCGTTCATACAATTGAAGACGATTTTAACTCAGAATCTAGTACTGAAAATATATCATTCGCGACACGAAACTGAAGTACATACGGACGCAAATATAGACGGTTATGGAGCTATATTCCAACAGTGTTCAGACGAAGACAACTCATTACACCCAGTATATTTTATGAGCAAAAAGAATAAAAAAGAGGAAAGGAATTATACGAGTTATGAATTGGAGGCGCTTGTGATAATAGAGATACTTAGAAAATTCCGAGTGTATCTGTTAGGAATTCAATTCAAAATAACTGATTGTGCGGCTTTTCAGGGAACCACATGAGCAAAAAAGAGTTAAGTACACGTATTGCGAGATGGGCTTTAGTGTTAGAGGATTATGATTATATCATAGAGCACAGACCGGGAACTCGTATGAAACATGTCGATGCTTTGAGTCGACATCCGGTTATAACGATAATGAAAAGTCCAATTATACCAAATTAGGAGTTAATAAGCAAGCGATGAAGAGATTCAGGCGATAAAACAAATTGTCAAAGATAAATCGTATAAGAATTATCACATAAGTGGCGATTTATTATATGTGCGGGAATGCACCGCGCGGAAAGATTCGAGTGAGAGAACGGCACACAGTTGATATGATACACGACAGTAAAGAGAACTCCGTTTCTTTGTAATTTAATAAAAGAATTTTCTTTAATATGCACAGTTACAAATTCAAAAAATATAATTAATTAAATATTAGATTAACAGAATATTAAATGCGGTCACCTTTTCCAAATACAATTTGGAATCACGGTGATGGAAAATCTCGGCGATTTCTCGGCTCTTCTCGAAAAGATTCGTTTTGTAGCGGTTTCCACTAAGTGATAGCACGGCGATTTTACGAAGCGATATAGTAGCGAGATTATGACTCTAACAACTCTAAGAACTTTTGGACTCTAAGAAGGAGGACGGCGAGATCGAAACATTTATTGCTTTCGGTCTGGGCTTTCTTCTTGGAAAAAATCCAATAAAATTTTGCCACAATCGTAATTATTGCGTGGCATTAGGTGTACAAAATTGATTGGCGCTTTGGATTCTTTTCTAACG